AGTTGGGCTTTATTTTAAAGGACAGCAGTGAGTAAAACTCTTTCGCAGAGTTATGTGGACTTACGGCTGTTTTGTCTCGAGCAGATTTTTGTGGGTTCCTCGCTATCTGTCTCTGATAGGTTGATGAATGAGCTTATCAAAAAACTTTATTATGGCTTTAACTTCTATAACGGACTTTTCCGATGACCTCATGAATGGACATTTCAATGACGTCGTCAATGGACATCAGAATCGAAGTCATCAAGACGTTTCTTATGACGTCATTATTGGACGGATCCGATGGTGAATGGCCATTAATGACCGTAATACCGACTAGATTTGACCAGAATAACCGACGGACTTGCGTACTAACCAACTTTCCAGAATTTTGATGACGATATCCATGAGGTTTCCAATCGATAGGCTTTTCTGATGACGTTATAGTGGTTCTTTTTTCTTCTCTTCTCTGTATTTTTTCCCTTAGTATTCTCTACTTTCTCTATTTTTTTATTGTTTTATTTTTCTCCTTATTTTTATTCGTCCCTTCATTTTCTTATTTTTTTCTTTATTTCTGTATTTTGCTCTTTAATTTTGTATTTTACTCCGTATTTTTTATTTTTCTCTCTATTTTTGTATTTCTCTTTTTATTTTCGTATTTTTTTCTTCATTTGTTCCTTTTGCTCCTTATCTTTCCTGATGACTCGTCGTGGCTTCTTTTTCCTCTCTGCTCTTTAGTTTTTTTCCAACAAATAAAATGAATTATGCGTTTTACTTAAACCAGGCTGTCGATTTAAATCGAATCGATCGAATTTTGAAGGGAAACTCGATCTGGAAAATGTTGAAATTACCGGTCCTCCCGGTAACACGGTAGCGTGTACACGTCGTCGCGTCCATCACCGCGCCTGTACGAAAGATGATGACGCAGACGAAGTGGTTGGCGTCGCGACAGACATGGTGCTCCACGTGAACAATCGAGATGGAGCGGGACAAAAGTTGAAGGAAAACCGTGTCCATTGTCCACGGGTATTTCACCTCCCCGGACTCCTTTTCGTCCGGCTACCGTATCGAAACTTGACGGAGACGCATCAGTCTCAGGGGAAACTCAAAGCACTCCGAAGATGATGACGATGGACCCCGACGGATGATGATAACATCCCCCCGCCCTTGCCAAATCATGCTTGAAATCTTTAATTTCTCATCTTCGAAAGTCGGTGGAGGATACAGGGTTGCCACAGTCAGGGAAAACCGGGGAATGTCAGGGAACACAGGAAAAAATAAAAAAACACATTGGATCTAGAGTCCAGACTCTTAAAAACATCGACAAGAAAAAGTACTCTTGATTCAATCAGAATCTAGCTTAAATCAAGAACCAAGCCTCTTAATTTAAGCGGATTTCGTTTTGATTCAAGCAAAAATCCGATTGAATCAAGAGTATTTTTTCTTGTCAATGTTTTCACGAGTCTGGACTCTAGATCCCATGTGTTTTTTTCTCCAGTGAATTAAAAAAGTCAGGAAAAACGAGGAAATGTCAGGGAAAATTTGTTGAATGGCCTTCATTTGATTTCTAGAATGGGCTTGAGGTTTCGAATGACAAATTTTGCTTGAAATCTTCTTTCAAATATATATCCTCTTAATCATCCACCACATCTCTAATTGCCAGGGAATCTCACCAAAACGTATCAGGGAAATTAGGGAAATGTCCGGGATTTTCAATTTCCATATTCTCTGGCAAACCTAGATATTATGAATGGTATTGTTCGGCAAGGATAGTTTCGGGACAGTGGAGAGGCGAGAATGATCGATTATCGAATGTTCTCCATTCGAAGCTGTGGTAAAGAATCGATCATTGATGTATGTGTTCGTTGCAAACTCCCTGTCTATCGATCCTTCTCCATAGGTTTAATTGGCAGCTTAATCGATGTATCGCAAAGCAATGGTGGCTCCAAGTGTCCGCACGCCCCTCGGAGCATCCCGACGTGAGAAGCTGCGACTTCAGAGGCCTTATTGTTATCCTCCCCGCAGTTGCCGCCTCGCATCTAAAAATCCGAATTTCACACGCACTCGTGTAGATCATTCCGCCATAATCGACAACGCAGCCCCAAGGCCCGGCGGTTGCTGGCGTCAGGGTATTTGAATAAGACGCGTGAAATTGAAATTAATAAAGTGTCCGCTTCGTTGTCGAATCTATGAGAAACGTCTGTTCCCATCGGAGAATCAACTTGTCATCAATATCCTGAAGATTGTCACAATCGCAGTCTGGGACCGATTCTTTTCAGCGATGGAAATTGCAGTTGTCATGGAAACACAGATAAGAAGCAACGGATCAAAATAATTTATCGAAGATGGTCGAGAATCAATTGATTCTTATTTCCAACCCTATCATGGGTCGTCTTATATCTTCGACGGGATCTGGCATCTAGCCGTGGATGCTGATGATGGGATTTTTTAATACGAATTATAGATAGTCCTCTTGTCCACGGAAGGTAGCTTTGTCCATCGGAGAGTGTAGTAATCTCAAGTAAGGAGTATTGCTGCTTTATTACGAGAAAGAGCAGAAGTGAACAAATTTTCAAAATCGAGCTTCGTAATTTTCGTTGTGCGCATCGTGTTTTACGTAAAATTTTGGTAAAGAGACAAGTATCAGAATGCTGAAATTCGTACCTTGTCTAGTGGTCCATTGTGGAATTTTCTATCTCTTGCTGACATCTAATCTTGAATTTGTTCCTTGTCTGTTGAAAACTTGCACAAAGACAAGCACGCAGAAACTTGCACGTATGCCTGACATAAAGTAAATTAGTACCATTTTTTACAGTCAAAAGTAAAATTCATCGATTCGTTACCGAACGATGTTTGTAAGGCTTTTGAATACTTGAAAATTTTACGAAAAACATACGACGTATCCAATTAAATTTCTCGCTTGGACATCACCAGCTCCATTTCCTCAAAGCTTCATGTCCGAACTTTCAGCTCGCCTCGTTTTCTAACCAGAATTAAGATCGCCGTCGAACCTTTGACCGGCGCACGGTGGACCGAATCAATATGAAAGGTCAGGCAAAGAATTATTCACTAAAACTGCGATTTTTATTGTTTATTTCGTCTTATTTGACCTTGCAAGGGGTGCTTTTATAAGGAAATTTCTCAAGGAAACCAATGAAACCACTTAAAGGGCCTCAAAGTTTTGTGTAAACGGAGTTATGAGCGTTTAAAGTTTCCAAATTTTGTCCGACCTCTCCCATTGACTCGGTCCAGTGTGCGGCGGCGCACGTTGAATCGAGCCTATAGGAGAGGTCGGACAAAATTCGGAAACTTAAAACGCTTATAGCTCCGTTTATACAAAACTGAGAGGTTCTAAAAGCTCTAAAAAAAGTATGGTAAAATCCACTATAGGTCTGCTTGATATTTTACGCAGTGATAATATCCGGTGAAAATAACCCACGTAGCAGCATTCACCAGAACTCTAATGACACTTACCATAATATGGTGTATGCTACCATAGAGTCTGGTGTGTATTAACATACTCGGATAACGGTGTCAAAGTATGTTAAAATCTACCGTATATTTTTTTCAACGAGTGGTTCCATTGGTTTCCTCGTAACATTTTCTTTTCGATGCACCCCTTGAACTTTCAAAAGTGACAAAATGAACATCGAAACTCGCATTTTTTGTAAAAAAAAGTTCATGTCCGACCTCTCTAATTGACTCGATCCTCCGTGTNGGGGGGGGGGGGGGGGGGGCGGCTGTGAGCAAAATCGCGCGAGCCTCATATTAATGGCAATGCTAATGTATGTGCGATCGCACGCACGAGCGTATGAAATATTCGTGAAACTTGTAAAGTAATTGGCAGCCGTGTCAGGGCAGTCAGGATATCCGGTTATTAGGCGGCGTGCATTATTTTCACGGTGGGTTCGTACTCCCGGGTGTAATGGGCAGTACCAACCCCCCGCTTACCCGTTCGCCGCGGGGTGATGCACTCACTCCGCAGTCCGATTATCATTTCATCGTGCGTGAATGCGCTACGCCCGGGCCCGCGCCCTAATTGTTTTGATTTTTTACTCGAATTATTCCCTCGTTAGCAATTAGCGTTAGGCATCGGGTCTCGTTAGTCATCGCGCTGACGGCTGGCGTGAAATTATACGCCCGGAATTCGGAAGCTCGGGTTTTTGGCGGGGACGTGCACCGCACTTTATGATTTAAGGTCTTCGGGATCGCTGCATATTTTTAATCGTGCTCATAGCGTGTACTTTCGAGTTGAGTTGAGTCAATGAATTACGTCCGTCTTCGTGATTTCCGATGTATTTCAATGAATCTTCACTTATCTGTATCGATGCTGCTTTGCTATGCTAAGGAAAGGTACTCTATGAGCCTTCATACGTTGCCCAATATTCGTTGACAAATCACGAACTTTCGGGAAAATGTATCAATAATGTTTTTCCACTTTTTCATATTTTTATCGCGTCTAAAAATTTCAAGGTAAAATATGCATAAATTTCTTCGAAAATAACTTTATTATGAGGGGAGATTTTGCAACTCTCGAATGTTCATACGTCGTTCGTCCCAGTGCTCCCATTTCCCGGAACTAGTCCCGAATTGCAGAACTTATTAAATTTTCTCGAATTTTTCCTGGAACTTTTGAGATTTCCAATGTTTTTCGGATCTTTTGCATTCTCCGGATTTTTCTCGGAACTTTTGAAAAATGTAGAAAAAATCCCGGCACTTCTGACGGTCATACAGTGGGAGAAATTGGAACAAAAAAGTTCCGAATTCCGGAACTTCTGACGGACATGGAATGAAAGCACTAGTCCCTGTCCTTCCTCATAGCACGGCAGTGCAGCGCAGCACGCAGTGGGTCTGGGTCAGTCAAATGGTGGTTTTAAATGGTTCTTAAAATAACTGGTGAAAATTCGTGCGGTTTGTCGCGTACGATTACCCCATTTTTTAAAATTTTTACGACGTTCCTTATTTTTTCTCGGCCTATGAAAATGAGAAAATAATACTCATGGTTGGTGTTTGTTTGCTTGCAGCTGCCGTACACGATCCAAGTGGACGTTTCGAACATCGAGGCCATTCCGACGCCGCGGCTGAACATCTCGAGCAAGGGGTACATCCCGACGACGGCGGAGACGTTCAGCGTGGGGCTGCCCTGCTCCGGGCTCTCCGACGCCGAGGTCACCGTCCACATCGCCATCAACGTCACCACCGCCGCCCACAACGTCACCAGGCTCAGCCTCAAGAGGAAACGCTTCTGCCGCAAAGGTATGTATCCGAATATCGCCAATGCTAGCGTAAGTCCGTCAAGATAAATCCCCACCTCGGAATGAGCCACTAGACAAGGGCTGGAGTAGAAGCAAACGTCACATGTTTTCTCTACAAAATCTTACGTAGAAAGCAATGGGCCTGTTGCAAACTTTTGCTAGAGCAAAACTAAGAGTTGTTTCTTATAGATAATGCCTCAAAAATCACGATGAGCGCATCGGCAAACTCTGAAATGCACTCATAACTTCACAAACTGCGTAAGAAATTTGCGGTTTTTTGAGCTTCCCGCTTCAAAAACGATACTACGGCACAGGTGAACATTTTGTAAGAGGAGTC